CTGTCCTCTGGACCCGCTCCAACAGCTCCATGTCCTTCTTGTGCTGGGGGCTCCAGAGCTGGACGCAGGACTCCAGGTGGGGTCTCACCAGAGTGGAGTGGAGGGGCAGAATCCTCTCCCTCCATCTGCTGGCCACGCTTCTCTTGATGCAGCCCAAGGATATGGTTGGCTTTCCTGGCTCCAAGTGCACATTGTCAACTCACGTCCAGCTTTTCATCCATATAAAGATCTAAATATATCTTTTAATCTTCCCTTTTCCTCTTGCTATAGGCAATGGTATTCACACCATACTTCCAATCCAAACTATTCTATGATTCTATGATGTATCACAGTATTTGTACTTCGGTGAAGTGTCCATCAACCCTAGTGTCTATCTACAGCAATAGCTAGTAACACTTCCTAAGAGTAGAAATAAAAAATACTGCATTACTGAAAGTTTATTGCTTCTGGCAGTCATTAACTGCCAAATGTCAAAAGCTGGTGTTTGCATCACATTTAATAGGATGGATCTATGTTGTAAAATATTGCAGAATTGCTTTATGAACCTATTTATTACTACAGTAGCTCAACCTGTATGCCAGCAAGCAAATACATTCATGAGAGAGATTCAAATTCATTGTTTTCTAAATTATTTTCAAACTTGAGTTACATAGCAAGGAGCTCTGCAGAGGTAATTCTCAGTAGATTATTTGATTTTAATGTATATCAGTTTAATAATCTAAATGAGGTGATGGAATGAAACTGATTGGCAGAAATAAGTGCTTTTTTGGCTTTGTTACTGGAGCAGATCACTTCATAATCAGCACCAGACACGCCATTAGTCTAAAGCTTTTAAACACAGTTTTATTCCATACAAATAAATATTTTTGTACTTTCAACAATAACATAATAAGAAGCATACATTCTGGCACATGAACAACAAACAGACAAAAAATAAAATTAATGCAAAAGAAAACGGAATTACCTTTTTGCATTTTGTTGCACTGTATTGCAGTCAGAATCTTTCATTGAAGTCAATACTTTTTGTTTAGCCAAGATTATTTCTTTAGCCTAAAATAAAAAGACAGAAAAATAAGTTTCATGAAAGTTGATATTTATGCTCACAAGCATTTAAATAATCTCTCAAAAACATCAAAATTAACAGTCTCAATTTATTTTCTCTTGCAACATTTACTCTTTGTTAGAGTTTAACACTTCACTCAGCATGAAACATGCATAAAGCAATTTAATGATCTGAATAGAATTATATTCAAATATATATATGAGTATATATAAAAAAAAATTTAAATATATACATCTATTTGTATTTACACATAGAATCATAGAATCCTAGAATGGTAAGGGTTGGAAGGGACGTTGAAGAACATCTAGTTCCAACCACCCTGTCATGAGCAGGGACATCTTCCACTAGACCAGGCTGCTCAGAGCTCCATCCAACCTGGCCTTGAACACTTCCAGGGAGGGGGCAGCCACAGCTTCTCTGGGCAACCTGTTCCAAAGTTTCACCACCCTTATGGTGAAGAATTTCTTCCTAATATCTAATCTAAATCTGCCTTCTTTTAGTTTAGAGCCATTCCCCCTTGTCCTACCACTACACACCTTTGTGAAAAGTCCCTCTCCATCCTTCCTGTAGGCCCCCTTCAGGTACTGGAAGGCTGCTATATGGTCACCCCAGAGCCTTCTCTTCTCCACACTGAAGACCCCAAAGATAGACTGAAGTCTATCTCATTGCTGCAGACACTGCAGGAGGAGAAACTGGGTCAATCAGATCTCAAAGGAAAACAGCTGGCAGCTGCCAGTGAAATGAATGTTTTAAAAACAGTGATCTCAGTAGTGGCACTGGTGAGGCCACACCTCGAATACTGTGTTCAGTTTTGGACTCCTCACTTCAAGAAGGACATTGAGGGGCTGGAGTGTGTCCAGAGAAGGGCAACAAGGCTGGGGAAGGGTCTGGAGAACAAATCTCATAAGAGTACGCTGTCTTGTTTAGTACCATGTTAATAATGTACATTACTGGTTTTCTCTATAGCTAACTGGTTCATGAAGTGCCTCCCATTTGCATTTCAGTTCTGGTGTCCATGTACTAGTTCAGATATTTTTATTAAATAAGCTGCTGCAGTCTGGACTTCTCACTCTTTACAAAAGGGACGACTGATCACAAACTGCCTCTGCTCCTCTGTTAAAGCCGAATCTCAAGTTCAAAGTCCATGTGAATTCCCCTTCTCAAAGACAACATATCCATCACCATTTTTTGGAAGATGTGTTATAGGCAAAAGGGTATGTCATGGCAAAAGGGTATCTTTTTCCCTTTTCAACAACAACATGGAAGAGGGACCTGTTAAACATTTGAAAGGAAGGAGAAGAACAGGAACCATACCAAGCAATTCATTTTATTGACTATTTCTTAGTGCAGTAGATTTGAAAGTAGTCAGTTCCAGATGCCCAGTAAACTTAAAGTCTCCATTCCAAAATCTGCAAGAAATAAGGCAGATCCTGTAGCTTCTGTCATTTGTTTCTGAAATGCATTGCAAAGGAGCTGATCCCCTCTGATTCTGTGTATACTCTGGTGAAGAAGTCTGTTTCTTTGGACCTTCTCTCTCTTCTCAGCAGTCCCTCTAGTGTTCTGTTCTTTCAACAATAATTCATTCCTTTGATTAATGTTCCTTACTTTGCCCTCATAGCAAATCATCAAGGATGGTGAGGAAATTTGCAGATTCTGCAATAAACAGAAAAGGCTTCCTTCACAAGAAGTGGTCCTGGAACTTGGGGAAGGGATAGGATTTGCCTTCTAGAACAACTGTTATCAATTATCAAATACTGTTTGACCTAAAAGCTCTTTTGCTCAAAAGATGCCTTCTTACCTCTGTTCAAGAAAAAAGTTTAAATGATACTCTCTAATTTTTCTTGGTTTTGAAACACAACTGTATATAAAACAATAGTATGTGATCTGCACCAAGCCAGTAGTTGGCTGTCCACCTCTTAGTGACGTTAATCTAACGAGTATAACTGCTCTGAGAAACAGAACTGCTATAGCTTCAGCTGTGGCCAAATATAAAACTCTCGGCTCAGCAGAAAGATAACTGTGAACTTTAAAGCCTGTGATATACAGGAAGATGGACTAAATTAATATAATGAAGCTTTCTGAAAGTGATTTTATGAAACTATTGCTAATATTTGCATTAATCAGAAAACAGAAAGGAGAGTTCTTTTAAGATCATTATCAGAGAATTCTAGAAATGGATGTGTTAAATGGAATCTGGAATATATCTGAGAAAACAAAACAAATATGTGAAAACAGTATTTTTAAGCTGAGTCATCTTTCCAGTCCACATTTTTGTCCCACAGTGGTTTTCTTCTTCTACAACGGGAATTCCACTGAGTAACAGAGTTTCCCTGAAACACATTTATTCTGAAGGATTAATAGATTTCTAGGGTTCCACAGCTGTTTGTCTCCCCATGCTTCTGACGGTAATCAAGTATTACTGCATTTACTGTACCTAGATAACTGAGAATTATATAATGAAAGTCTATCAAATAACCTTTACACTGACATGCATAATATATACCACTCCTGTTTTGAAATTAAGGAATCTAACTCTCATTGATCTTTAGGATTCTAAATGCTTTTGAAGGCCCAGGCAACAAAAAGCTGTCAGAATTAATTTGTGACTGCTTATATAATAAAGGATTAATCAAAAAGTCCGAATTTTGCTCTCTGATTCACTAAAATAAGGAAAGTGAAGTTTTAAAATGACACAGAATGTCTCAGAACCCTAAATAAAACCTGCTTGCTAATAACACTGTTTTTTGATGTTGTTTCTCAGACATTAATTAAAATGCTACCAGTGTAATCTACTGATGACATTTTACAAAATCACTGATTTAATATGCCAATTTAGGTCAAAGACTATAAAAGAAACTCCCAGTTTTAAATTTTCCTGCATCATCTGCAAAGATGACACTGCCAGAGCATAGAGGTTCAAAGTTCGAAAAGCTTCATGTCACAACAGTTTTTCCCAGAAAATTAAGGATGTACAATATGTAGTTACCATCAACTCCTTACTCATGCAAAATCTCTGTACAGATTATTATTACAATACACTTTAAAAGTGTCACTATATCATTTCACTGAATGTTGTGACCTTCAGTTTGTTTTGATGACCTTCCAAAATATGTTGGTAGACACTGCCTTAGAAAGACACCCATTCTGCAGTGATTTGCTGTGCAACAAATAGTACATTTAAGAAAAATGTTTCTAGAAAAGACAGTGAAAATTACTTGCTTTCTTTTATTTTGTGAGGCATTTACCACCTCCAACATCTGTGGTATGGCAAGGTCATCACAGAGGCAAGGAAAGAGGTTTTGTTTTTCATTTTAAAGGCTAAGGAACTCTGAACAGGCTGGAAGATGAATGGTGAAAGGTTTAGTAACCTGATCAGAAACACACTAAAGCAAGCGAAAAACACTTATGGAATTCAGTTTTCTGTTCTGTTACTGAGAGGAGAGAGATCTTTTCAGGTTAGTATTGCAATAAGCCTATTACAGGAGCTATTTTTAGGTTAATAGCATTTTTAACATTCCAGTTACCTAAGGAATCTGCTAGGCCATTTATCTAGTTGCAAATAATTATATTTTAATAATAATTGTTTATCAGGATAATGTTAAACATAGTGAAATATAGTCATTAGGCTTGTCTTATCACTGATGCAACCTTAAAGAAGTTGAATGAACTCTGTTCTTCCTGTCATCTTACTAAAATGAATTCACATTAAGTTGATGATATCAAATTAGTATTCTCAAATGCTGTTGATAATCTCAGACATAATGTTCTGGAAGAAAAACACCTATTGGCCTTCCAGTTGTTGCTAACCTTTATTCATTATACTTTGTCCACTAGATTACAACCCATTAATACCAATAAAATGTGCATGAGTAGAAAGCATCTGAAAATTATATAAACACCACAAATATATCTTGTGCACTCTAATTCAGTCCTGGGAGAGGGGAACATATTCTCTGACAGATTCTGTAATATAAAACAAAGAGCAATACATTTGTACCTGCTACACGCAATTGCTGTGAAGTAGCACAAATCCATCTCCAGTCAGCAAATCCATGAAGTTCACACAATGGTTGAGGTTGGAAGGGGCCTCTGGAGGTCATCTTGTACAACCCCCCTGCCCAAGAAGGGACACCTAGAGCCAGTAGCCCAGGACCGTGTCTACATGTCTTTTGAATATCTGCAGGGATTGGAGACTCCACAACCTCCCTGGGCAATCTGTGCCAGGGCTCAGCCACCCTCACAGTAAAAAAGTGTTTCCTGGTGTTCAGAGGGAACCTCCTGTGTTTCAGTTTGTGTCCATTGCCTCTGGTCCTGTCACTGGGCCCCACTGAAAAGAGCCTGGCTCTGTTCTGCTATGCACCCTCCGGAGCTTCAGGTGTTTATATGTATTGACAAGAACCCCCTGAGCCTTCTCTTCTCTAGGCTGAAGAGTCCCAGCTCTCTATGTAGGAGATGCTCCAGTCCCATAGTCATCTTCATGGTCTGTTGCTGGATTCTCTCCAGTATGTCCATATCTCTCTTGTACTGGGAAGTCCAGCACTGGACACAGTAGTCCAAGTGTCTCACCAGTGCTGAATAGAGGGAAAGGATTGCCTCCCTGAATGTACTCACAATGGTCCTAATGCAGCTCGGAATACAGTTAGCCTTCTTTGGCAGAAGGCGACATTGCCAGCTTACGTTCAACTTGGTGTCCACCAAGACTCCCAGGTCCTTTTCTGCAAAGCTGCTTTCCAGGATCCAGGTTTTTTGATCAGTTGACAACAAAGATATTAGACCATGCAGCACTCCATCCATGCGTATCTGTCTGTGTCCCGGCTACACAAGCAGTTTTTAAACAAACCAAGGTAGAGCTCAGAACATCAACTCAGTTATTCTATAGAGCTTCTCTCTCCTAAGATATCACAAATGTCTGTGAATCCTGATGTTCTGAGATGAAGCAGGCTCCAGACCCTCAAGCTATGTAAAATATGTAGGTATAGCTAAAAAATGAAGCTAGGTGAAATGTAGGTGAAATATAAAGTTAGTAATGGAATAAAGGCATTTCTCAATCACAGTATGAAGAGATAACATTCATTTTGCTGATTTAGGTATGACTTTCTAGGCAGGCAGCAGATTTTAATATATCCAAAGACTCCTTGAAATACTTACCTTTTCTAAGGCACTGATCATCCACAAAGAGACAAGCAAGATGCATGAGTAACAAAAGCAGGTTATGAGATAGAAAACTGAGAGTACTTAAAAGTATCCCAAAGACAAGTAAATAGTAAACAAAACTGTTCAGAAACATTTAAAAATGACATTATCCAAAATGGCAAATGTCAAGGTCTCCGTTTTTAAATAAATAAATTCAGGAAAGCATAAGTTCTCATAGGAGTGGATTTTGAACATTAAAAAATAGATCTTAACCAAATGAGTACAGTTTTCAGTATTCTTCAAGCTCCTGGTGAAACTGCATGCTTGATGCTAGAGCGACAGTTTGTGATTTAGTGAGAGGCTGTCCAAGTAGGGAAGGACAGATGGTATGGGACTGGAGAGTAGAAGAAAACATAGAATCTATAGAACTACAACTGGAAAAAGCCAAAAGCTGAAAAATAGCTTTTTAGTTAAGGCCACTAGTTGCACAGTTTTAGAATTAAATCAGAGCACAAACAGAAAGAATTACCCCAAACAGCAGCTGAATGTTCCTCCTTCAGAAGAAAATGCTCTAACTAATATATTCTGGCAGATTCATATATATGAACATGTCCCACTGCTCCTACACAGCAAAGAAAATTATTGGAGGCCAGAAGGGTAAGGTTAGAGCACCAAGATTTTTTTTTTCCATCTAGTTAGCCTTGGGCATGGTTACCCTATTTCTGAAAGCCAAAAATATATGATGTAGGCCTAGAGGCCTTAAAAGCAACCCAAACCTCCAGAAGAGCGGATGAGCAGAAGGGCATGATGCTGAAGTTGACTAACCCCTTCCACAGCTCCCAAAACCCCACCATACAATCCTTTCTCACCTTCAGAACTCTGCCTTCACAAAACTTCCAGCTCCTTGTCTGCTCCAAGCCCCTCAGTCCATCTCTGCTCTTCCTGCAGGTCCAAGAAACCAGTCTTGCACCAAACGATGTGAGTCCCACCTTAAAGGCCTTCCTCTTTCTGCCAGCATCCTACCCATTACGCCCCAAACCTGAAGATACCTCTGCCATTCAGATTCCCTCTGCCCCTGGTCTTTTGATCTGGTTCACATTGCTGCATCTTCCCTGTATCTAAGCTCTAACGCCCCTAAACTTCCGCTGCGGCCCCCCCAGCCGTTACCTCTCTCACTGCCTACTTCAGTAAGGCAAGTTGACTTCCATGTCTTCGAACATTCCTCATTACCGGTCATTCCTTCTCTACTCTCTAATTTTGTGGCAGATGTGTAGGAATGGGTAGGAGATGTCCTCATTCCACCTTTGGTTCTACCTCCTCTACTCATTATGTCACCCCACAAATCACAATGCTACTTCTGTACTAAGGGCACAAGCTACATGGCTTGTTCTGATCACCTGAGACATAAGAATAGTACATCATCACTATCCTTAAACCAAAATGTAATCTTCATACATATGTCTGCCACAATAATTTTGAAAAATTGATTTGTTTTTATTATTTCACAGGTGGAAAAAAAAAAGTAGGACATTTTTCTTTAGGAAAAGAAATTTGGACTTTTTGCACAGTACTGCATCTTTTGCAGTGTCTCTTTTCACATATAAAAAGCTGGTTTTGTTGAAAACAAAGGAAATACAAATAGTTCTATTAATACTGATTTTCATAATGTTCCTTTAAAGTGATCTTTTGACTCTATGATTAAATTGTCTTTCTTGAATGTTCCTTCTTTGGAAAAGATGTCCTGATAGGAAGGGCTAGACTGAATAACTTTAGCTAGCCAGATGTTACCTCTAACTCAGGAACATTCCCAAAGTACTCACAACATTTTAAGTATCCTTGTGTGATGCCTCCTCGGATAATTTTACATACCTTTGGCATGCTGACAACTAAATGACCAGTTGTTTGTGATCTTTTAGCAGAGCTGCCGTCTGGCTTCACTTCCTCAGGGAGCACAAGCTGAAATGGCTGTGAGAAAATATAGGATTGAAGTATATCATGCTAAAATAACTTTTTTTTAATTGACGTGGACAGAACACATGCAGAAACTTCACTATCACATCCTTTGATCTTAAGGACAGTATAGGTGTAAATCCTCTCACTTTATATGTAGTATTACTAAGCCTAACAAATTACTGGCATGCTGAACAGCTTTTACTTACAAGTATAGTCATATGTATATTCCTGAATTGCTGTGATTTGTGAAGTGACATTTCTAAAGAAGGTTATAAAATGATGCTTGACTTACATTAGCAATTAAATGAGAAAGATTATCCGGTCTATTTCAGATGTAAAGTAATTCTGAAGTTTTGTTTATGCAGTTGGTACAGTCAAAAATAAGGATTTTGGTTTACAGTTTAAGTACATTGAATTTTTCAAAAACTTGACGATAAAATTAAAACCACTGAGAAGAGAGAAAACTGAAGTGACATTTCAAATGCCCTTTCAAAAGAATATGCATCTATTTGTTTCTGTCAGCTATAGATTCCAGATTGTGAAATTGCTAAATTCTAGTCTAGGGCAACTAGCAAGCTTTCTTGTTAAGTAAATTATGGTACACTTTGGGGGGGAATAAGAAGAGAGAAGAAGAGAACGACAGAGTGAAATTTCATTTCAGGCTTTGCTGTCTTCTTGTTAGAACTTCCACAGTTTATGTGTCATCCAAAATAATGCAAGTATGAAAGAATATTTTTTCTGCATAGATGCCCACAGTTGTGAACTCATAAAAGTCAGATCCAGAGTCCACTGAAAAACTATGGCAAGCATTAACTCTTGATTTGAAATGAACATAGTAAGAAAACACTAACCTTTCCCTTCACCAGTACTCGTATGTAAGTTGGCTGGACATCAACATCAAGCAGAGAAGTGTCCAAATGTCTGCAGAATGAAACATAAATATATGAATCAATCTACAGTATAGTCCAGTAAATAAGCAGTGCAGACCATAAAGCTCTTTAATGATAATTTCACAGTTTATAAACTACAAACTTCAATTTGTGACTTGTAAAAGCTCCACTTTAAGAACTGTTCTTCATCATATGACACATACATTCAAGTTCCTGTGACTTAGTAGTGAGCACACAAGTACATATTCCCTGTTTCACTTCTTTTCTAACGTTACCTCTCAGGTGAATTTTTCAAACTTTTCAGTTTGCATTTCTTACAAGTGAGCACAGAATATTACACCATATCCAACAACTTACTGCACCTGAACAGATTTTCTGAGGCTTCAAAAAAACCTAATTCTTATAATTCAGAAATATAGCGCAGGCCTCTTTTGAGGGACATTAATAAGCTTTAAGGGAAGAACACCTCGCATGCATAGTGTTTCTGTGCTACAAAACTAGTTCAGCCTTTGCTCTAACAATTTCTTATTATGGGTAAATAAGCTTGTGGGTTTCCAATCCCTTCCTGAACTGTGGGTAAGGCCACTGTACTGTTTCCTAGTATATACTATCAAATAGATGCCAGGTTTCCTTGTCATATTTTGGTCTGGTTCAATCACATTTCTTCCAGGCAATGCCCTGGCACACTTCAGGAAAGAGCATGGGCATGGACTCTTTCCAGCAAGCAAGACAGGTAGGAAAAGGCTAATCTGTCTTGAGGAGAGAAAAATTTAACTAGAAGGACATGAACTGTACTAGAGCACTTCTAAGGCCAGAGAATAGGCAAAAATCCCATTCCCTACAACCCTAATATGGAAATGAAGAATGGAAAAGATTTTACACAAGTATAAAAGGACAGGTGCGGAGGAAACTTGCCTGTGGACTGCAGAAAACATCAATTCCAAAAAGGACTATTAGACGCAGTCCTCATTCAGGAGTAATAGAACAGTCTGAAGGGTCTTTTGTTTATTCAGCTTCATTTCTTTGGCACAGGCTTTCAAGACTGATTCCATTACCCTCTAAGTTTTTGCTTTCCTCTTGAGAATTCCCCATTACAGAAAGAACTGTATTTTAAACACTATGTATTAGAATGTAAGAATGGCAAAAATTACGAGAAAAAAAAAAACCTGACCTGTAAACAGCAAGATCCAAGATGATCTGGTTGTTTTGTTCATCATCATTCAAAGAGAAATGAAGCCTAATAATAATGACAAGAGACACCTCCAGGATAAATACAATTAGAGTGAATAAGCAAATATTACAGCATACCCCAAATTCAACTGCTAGCAATTTTAGATGAATACAAATACCATCTAGACAATACGTCACATGATTATTTTAGAAACAGTTGCAATTTTCCTCATGAACAGAAAAAAATACTGGCAGTTGAACCAAAGTCATCCTTACATTTATTTTCTGCTCTCCCCACCCAACCCACAAGAAATAAAACAAAAAAAAAAACAAAACGCTGAAGGTCAGTTAAAATTCCGATTAGTTTGTCAATGCAGAGAGAGAGACATCTTCTGGCGAGATCTGCCTGCTCTGGTGATGTCTTCAGGGGAAAAACAGTTCAAAAAAAGCACGAAAAGAATGGAACTTGGTAATTCTAACCTTATCATACGTAAAAAAAAATCACCTCTTTGTTCACAGCAATTAATTTGCCTAGAGGATAAATATCTGCTTGTGCATTTCCAAAGTAAACACAATTTGCACAATATCCTTGGTTTTATAAGCTTTATAATATTTGTTGAAAATTAGCCTGTAGATTGTATCACTTCTTAAAATTGTGAAAGAACCTTACCCATCATAAACAGAAAACAACATCTATTACTACAACTGTAAGGAGATCTAGTGTAGACTTACAAGTTCTGCTCACATACTCAAACAATTCCCGTGTATTAAAGTAGAGAAAAAACAGAAAAAATTCCTACCTATAAATGAGAAGATTTTTATAAATTAGTTATTAGTATAAAATGAGAGGTTTCTGTTTAATTTAATTTATCTGGAATATTTCAGTGACGTTAGAATAGTCGTGGCAGCTGGTGAAGTTCCCACTAATTGGAAAAGGGGAAACATCGCCCCCAATTTTAAAAAGGGTAAAAACGAAGACTCGTTCCTTCTTCACTAACCTTGGTGCTCCCTCTATAACTCTCACGCATCTTTTTTTTTGCCTCACTCCTCACATTGCTTTGCAGCATTTTGCCCCTTCTTAAGCCTGGTTTCCCAGAGGTGCCACCCACTTGGCTGATGGACTCAACTGTGTCCTGCAGTGGGCATGCTGGAGTCAGCTGGAACCAGATGTGTCCAGCGCAGGGCAGCCCCTGGTCTCTTCTCACAGAAGCCGCCACAGCAACCCCCCCTGCTGCCAACATCTTCTCATGAAAATCCAATGGAAAGTTCCGTAATAAACATGTGGATGGTCACACTCAAAGAGTTGCAGTCAATGGCTCAATGTCCAAATGGAGAACAGTGATGAGCGACGTTCCTCAGGGGTCGGTGTTGGGACCAGCGCTGTTCAGCATCTTTGTCAGTGACATGGACAGTGGGACTGAGTGCACCCTCAGCAAGTTTGCCGATGACACCAAAGTGTGTGGCAGTCAACACACTGGAGGGAAGGGAGGCCATCCAGAGGGACCTGGACAGGCTTGAGAGGTGGGCCAATGCGAACCTCAGGAAGATCAACAAGGCAAAGTGCTAGGTCCTGCACATGGACTGAGGCAATCCCAAGCGCAAATACAGGCTGGGTAGAGAATGGATTGAGAGCAGCCCTGAGGAGAAGGACTTGGGGGTTCTGGTTGATGAGAAGCTCAATATGACCCGGCAATGTGTGCTTGCAGCCCAGAAGGCCAACTGTATCCTGGGCTGCATCAAGAGAAGTGTGGCCAAGTCAAGGGATGTGATTCTGCCCCTCTACTCTGCTCTGGTGCAACCCCACCTGGAGTCCTGCGTCCAGCTCTGGAGCCCTCAGCACAGGAAAGACATGGACCTGTTGGAGCAGGTCCATAGGAAGGCCACAGAAATCATCAGAGGGCTGGAACACCTTTCCTATGAGGAAATGCTGAAAGAGCTGGGGCTGTTCAGCCTGGAGAAGTGAAGGCTGTGGGGAGACCTTACAGCAGCCTTCCAGTACCTGAAGGAGTCTACAAGAGAGCTGGAGAGGGACTTTTGACAAGGGTGTGTAGTGATAGGATAGGGGTAATGGCTTTAAACTTAAAGAAGGTAGATTTAGATTAGATGTAAGAAAGAAATTCTTTACTGTAAGGGTGTTGAGACACTGTCACAGGTTACCCAAAGAAGTTGTGGATGCTCCCTCCCCGCCGGGGTTCAAGGGAC